AAGCCCCAGTTGGGTCCCCCAAGGGTTTGAAGACCCAGAGTTGGGTTGGAAGCCCCTGGTTGGGTCCCCCAAGGGTTTGAAGACCCAGAGTTGGGTTTGAAGGCCCCAGTTGGGTGGGAAGCCCCCAGTTGGGCCCCCCCTCATGCCGGAAGCCCCCCCCTTTTGCAGATCCAGCAGTTCTCCAAGAAGGAGATCGAGGACCTGCTGCGCAAGGGCGCCTACGCCGCCATCATGGACGAGGACGACGAGGGCGCCAAGTTCTGCGAGGAGGACATCGACCAGATCCTGCTCAGGAGGACAACAACCATCACCATCGAGAGCGAAGGGAAGGGCTCCACCTTTGCTAAGGTAATTAATTAATTAGAGTTAATTAATGATGGAAAATCACCATCGAGAGCGAGGGAAAGGGATCCACCTTTGCCAAGTTAATTAATTAATTAGGGATTAATTAGCGATTATCAATCAACTATCACTAATGAGGGAGGTTGTGTTTCAATGAGTAATTAATTTTCGTTTACTTAAATTTAAGTTTTAATCTAATTTACTCTTGACTTCAATTAATTGTTTTGTTTGAACGGAGTGTAACTTTACGTTATTTATTTATTTATTGAGAACATTTTTAATAATTTGAATTAATTACTGTGTGATTTTAATTTTGTTTGTTGTTGGTCTTTAATTCACTTGTTTTACCGTCATTAGTTCAATTTTAATTACCTTGATGAATTCTTCTTTAATTAGCAAAAACAGATCCTTTTAGTGGATTTTTATTTTACTTTATTAGGCTTTTATTGTTCAGTTTGTTTTTTAATTGGTTATTGATCTCGTGGGGTTGCTCGGGGGGCTTTAATTGAGTTTTAATTAGGGCCGATTGGGTCGGGGGGGGCTTTTAACGATGCCTTTGATGGGGAATTTTGGGGTTAATTTTAATAAACTTCGTCTTGGCCACGCCCCTTTTGGACACAACCACGCCCCTTTTACCACAACCACACCCCTTTTGATGTGGCCACGCCCCTTTTGACGTGACCACGCCCCCTTTTTGCCCCAGGCCAGCTTCGTGGCGTCGGAGAACCGCCCGGACATCGCCCTGGACGACCCCAACTTCTGGCAGAAATGGGCCAAAAAGGCCGACCTGGACCTGGAGCTGCTCAACAGCAAGGTGGGACCCGGCTGGGCGTGGCCGGGGGAGTGTCTCCACCCCCTGGGCGTGGCCTAAAAGTGGGCGTGTCCCCCCGTGCAGAACACGCTGGTGATCGACACGCCGCGGGTGCGGAAGCAGACGCGCCACTTCAGCACCTTGAGGGACGACGATTTGGTGGAGTTCTCCGACCTGGAGAGCGACGACGACCTGGAGCAGCGCCTGGAGCGCGGCGGCAACGCCCGCGGCACCCGCCGGCACCACCAGCACCATCATCACCACCAACAACCCCAACACGGTGGTGGTGCCACCCCCAACCAGCAGGGAGGGTTCGGGGGCCCCTACGGCCGCACCGATTGCTTCCGGGTGGAGAAGAGCCTCATGGTCTACGGGTGAGGGCGGCGGCGTCTGACGGTGACGCGGCGTTGGGCGGCGCGGGCCCCATTGGCGCCGTTGAGCTCGTTGACCGTGTTGACCCCCCGTTGAGCTCGTTGACCGTGTTGACCCCCAGTTGACTTTGTTGACTGTGTTGATTCCTCCATTGACCGTGTTGACCCTGTTGACCCCCTGTTGACTTTGTTGACTGTGTTGACTTCTCCATTGACTTTGTTGACCATGTTGGCCCCCCCATTGACTTTGTTGAGTGTGTTGATCCCTCCATTGACTTTGTTGACCCTGTTGACCTCCTGTTGACTTTGTTGACTGTGTTGAGCTCTCATTGACTGTGTTGACCCCCCATTGACCGTGTTGACCCCTTGTTGACCCCCCATTGACCGTGTTGACCCCTTGTTGACCCCGTTGACCCCCCATTGACCACGTTGACCCCCCATTGCCCCCATTGACCCCATTGACCCCACATTGACCGTGTTGACCCCCTATTGGCCCTGTTGACCCCCCATTGCCCTCATTGACCGTGTTGACCCCCCTTTGACCATGTTGACCCCCCATTGACCATATTGACCCCCCATTGACTCGGTTGCCCCCCCTTGACCGTGTTGACCCCCCTGTTGACCCGGTTGCCCCTCATTGACCCCATTGACCCCCCATTGCCCCCGTTGACCCCCTATTGACCATGGTGACCCCCCGTTGACCCCTGTTGTCTTCATTGACTGTGTTGACTCCCCATTGACCCCCCCAGGTGGGGCCGCTGGCGGGAGATGGTGGCCCAGGGCCGGTTCAAGCGTCGTCTGTCGGAGCGGGACGTGGAGAACATCTGCCGGGCCATCCTCCTCTTCTGCCTCCTGCACTTCCGCGGCGACGACGGCGTCCGAGCCTTCGCCTGGGCCCTCGTGGCGCCCCCCGAGAACGGCCGCGCCCGCCCGCCCCACGCCCACACCGGTGAGACCCCCCGGGCCCTGGGACCTGAGTTGGGGGGTTCCAGCTCCTTGTTGGGGCACTTTGGAGGGTTTTCAGCCTCGTTTTGGGGCACTTTTGGGCGTGTCCACCCCTATTTTTGTGCTATTTTGTTGCCAATTTACCCCGTTTCTTTTCTATTTCTTTTGTTTCTTTATGATTTTGTCTTATTTCTTTGCCCTTTTTCCATTTTTTTTCATTTACTCATTTCTCTTTTTTAATTCTTTGTTCACGTTTTTTCTCTATTTTTTCATATTTTCTTCTATTGTTCCCCATTTTCTCTCACTTTTTGACCGTTTTTCTCTCATTTTTTCACCATTTCCCCCATTTTTGTGTTTTTGCCCCTCTTTTTCTCCATTTTCCCCCATTTTCTCTCCGTTTTCCTCTATTTTTTCCCTTTTCCCCGTTTTCCCCATTTTTCCTTATTTTCCCCATTTTTCACCTATTT